GCTCGTGTGGTGAGCCGGTTTTGCTGAGTGACGCTATAAGATCTGTGATGTTCTCGAGCGCGTCAATCGGCGATTTAGGGGATAACGATGATCAAGCGATTCCAGTTAATCATAATCCAGTTAATCACCTGGTTGAGCATAAGTTAGGTGAGAGAAAAGAAAGGTTTGCGGTAGACTATGCTATGTTACAGCAGGATATTGCCGCTCTGCAACGAGCGTTTCCCGAATTAGACGTTGTAGTGACTAGCAAAGTAAACCATCCTCATGCTATGTCCACTGCTTCGTGTGTTTGCAGTGAGGAAGAGGTATTGCGCAGTCTACATTATAACAGCTGTGTAAAAGGTACTCTTCGTGGTGATGAGGCATATATTGTTGACATTGGCGCTAATTACGTGTGTCATGTTAAGAAGAACCGATTTAACATCCATTGTTGTGTTCCGTGTGTTGACGTGCATGATTCTGCGCGTGAAACTGAGCGAGTCGCGATCATGCGTGCTATGTTATGAGAAGGAAAGATCGGTGAGAAAACCTTTTGAGATTATGTGCGACCTTTTAGTTTCCAGCGGCGATGTATGAAATTAGCTCAGGATTGTAATGTAAAGGCCGCGTATGGTATGGCGATTCATTCTCAGTACGATATTAAATTTGATGATTTAGCCAAGGCTTTTGATTCGCATAGGATTGAAATTTTTTGGAGTGTGGTTAACTTCGATGTAAAGATTTTTTATAAACAACATGGTGTTATAACTGAACAATGTATACATTTTGTGAAGAAGAATGGTAGAATATATTTTTCTTTTGTAAATGATCCTTCATTGAATTACTGTCATAGTTTGGATGATTATATGCGTATCTTAACGGAGCAGGTGGTCGTGACGCCGAAGGGTCGTGTTTATTTTATTGAGAGGAAAAATATACGATGCGGTAATATATCTATTAAATTTACATATTGCAGTGTTTCACCTATGACGAAACAATTAAGCACGCATTTCGATTATTGGTCTGGAAATTCGAATGTCACGGTTATCGCGACCTGGGATTATTCTGATTACTTTTTTGCAGAAAGTAAATTTAAAATTCGTGAGAATCCTGTTGTTAGTTTTACTCGGAAATATATTGAAATTGATAATAAGTTTTTTGATTTGTTATATGGTAATTGTTTACGTTCTGGTTTTAATTTAAATGAAATTTTTTCAGACGCGTTAACCTTTAACACTCGAATGACTATTAATGGAAATGATATTCGTACTCTGAATAGGGTACCTTCAACCGATTTGATGGATGTGATTGTAGCAGTGTATTGTATTGCGTATAGGGAGAGATACGCAATTGGAAAAAAGATTGAACGGTTTGTGAGTGATGAGAAGAAGAAGCGTGTCTTACGAAGGATTGGTTTTTCAGATGTTATGCGATGTTTGGCGCGTATGTTTATTTGTATCTCTGTTTTGGATGCGTTTAAGGAGTGTTGGAACCAGATGGTAGATTGTTTGTCTCAGACTAGGGCTCGGTCTTCTTTAGATGCAGAATTTTTTGAGAGCATCAAATGTATTGAGATAGAAGAGTTTGTTACTGTAGAGGGAAGATATGAAACTGAGAGTGAGATAGTGAATAGTGTAAATACTGACACTGTCGATGTGCAAATGCGTGAGGGTTTTCTCAACACTATTGTTAATTATACGCGTTGTAAGTACATGAGTAAGGAAGATGAAAATGTTATAATTTTCATAAGATTGTAGCAACTAGATCGTATGTCAGCTCTAAAGAATTAGCGAATGCGCGGAAGGAAGCTTTTACGAGTGCTGTGTTGAAGATGCCTGGTGATGGACATTGTTTGTTTTGGTCATTAGGATATTTCTTTGGGTTAATTGCTTTGGATGTGAGAAGGAAATTATGGGATTCGTGCACGGAAGAAGAAAAATCGGAAATGCCGTTTATAAATATGTTCGACGGGTCTGATAGTGGTTTAGGGAAAACTAATTGCTTGCGTGTGTATTCTCGTGTGTTTAAATCTAATATGTGTGTTCATGGTGTGATTGATGGTAAGGCTTTTGTGACTGAGGCGTACTCGGATGGATGTAGGTATGATAAGACTGTTCATTTATTATGGACGGTTTTAGGAGAGAATGGTCATGTGGATGTAATATGTGAGAGTGAGACAGATGGGGATTCCCGGTTGTCAAAATTTTTGTTAGATAATGATTTGAATGTTTTGGCTAGTAAGTTGGATAATAATTAATTACAAGATGTTCTTTTTGGTAGCTAAAGATCAGTAATACTATTAGTAAATAAGTTCGTACTTTCATTAATATCGAGGGGGTACTAGTTATAAATATTTTTAATTATTAATTATAATTTTATCATTAATAAAGGAAGCAAAAGAATATTTTAATATTATTTTACATACATAACATACATAAATAGTGATATTAAAATAATGTCAAATACGTGGGTATGTTATTAATGTAACATTAATAAGAAAATAATTTTTTAGATTAATACTATTTATCAACTTATAATCAATATTTATAGTTATAATTTATATCTCTCTATCTACCAAATATTAAAATTAAATATTATTATTAAATATTTTATTAATTTATTATATATATAATTATATTTTTATTAAAAATTTTGCAGAACATAACATGATATTTTTAGTTTAAAAATAATTAATATAAAATAAAATCAGTTTTCTAGCTAGATGGTAGTTCTATGTATATTCCTTAACTTTTTATTACTGATGCATATTATACCTCATGCAGTATTTCGTGTTTTTATGTACATCTACAAAATATTATTTACTTAGTACATATCAATAAATACAACCTTAGAATTTTAAAAACATTCAAGACGTGTTAATAAAAAGTATGTTTATATATGTGTCATTAAAATTTCATGTAATTTCATCTCTGTTTTATTAAAGTTATTTGTACAGTAATGTGTTTGTATTGCTTTTGAATTTGTTTGTAATAAACTATTGGGTAATTTAGTTTGATTATTGACAGTTAGTAGAAAAAATAATTGAGCACCGTTGTATAGTTTATTAATTACTAAACAAACAAATAAATACAGATAACCACCACCTTTTGTATGTACAGACGCCAGCGTAGTAGTGTTAATTGGGATTTCATGTCCAGCATCGGGATCATCTCTTCCAAGAACCGATTTGTTAACAGAAGATTTGCGACTAGGGTCGAATTTGGGTCATAAGAGAGAAAATGGATTGTAAAAATACCTCACTTCAAACCTCAATACAATAGGTTTAATCCATCATTTTAACGATACTTGATAGAAGACCCAATCTTCGAAGAAAGAGGGTACAAAAGCACTATCTTTGGTAAAAGCTATGGGTACACAGAGCTGTGAAAGAACTTGTTCATACATTTCTAGTGATTCTGGACAAGATGCTCCATTTCCCTAAAGAATAAAATAGAAGATTACTTATATAGATAAGTGTTGATTTTTATTGCAGAAATGTAAATTATTTAACATGTTTATACGTACATGAGTCATAAATTTTCCTGTAGACTTTAGAACTTTCATTGAAGAGTTTAAGATTAGTCTAATAAAATCCCATGCATCCCCATGTGGGGTTGGGCTAATTGGTATGTCTGTGAGATCACCGAAAACGTAATCAAATTGTTGGCCTTCCTCAATCATGTGTGCTAGAGTTTTTACACAATCTCCAACAATAATCTACAAGTTTTCAATCTTCCATAAAAAATTCTAGTAATTTTACTTGTAGCTGAAGAAATGAATCTTGCCTTTATAAAATTTACCTCATAATTTTCTCCCTTTCTTTTATCCAAACAGTTTCCACATATGCTTCTCATGTGTTGACTGCAGGCTTTTATTACAACATCATCAATCTAATAAAAGAAAATTAATTCTCTTTGGTAAAGCAATTTACTAATACATATAATAATACAACTTCTGCAATTTTAGTCTGTCATACCTCTAACATGGTTACGAATTTTGGTTTCTCCTTAAGCAATTCCCAAAGTAAACCACCATCTCCTCCTCCTAAAATAACTATTTCTTTCCCTGTGTAATTTTCTTTACCACGTTGCATCAAAGTTTCTGTATATATCAGATCTGCTTCAGATATATCTAAAAATTGCGAGATTTAATTTTAAGAATGTTCTGACTTTAAATATAATTTCAAATTGCTTTGAAAATATAGGATTTGCTCTTACTTTGTAATTCATCAAGAACCAATAGATTTCCCAGTGATTTTGAATGAACAATTTGTACTTTTTGATAGGGAGAACGTGCTTCAAAAACCAGTTTGTCAATGTCATATTCAAGTAGTCTGTCATCTTAAAAAAGGAAATAATTTTATTACCATACTGAAAACTTACAGAATATAAGTAATTGCATAAGAAAGCATTTAATAGATGCATGCAATGCAAAGCATAAATCTCGTAGAACAAAGATTCTTATATCAAAACTAAAATTAAAAAGAATGAAAATATTGAAGATTTAGGAGTGTCACATGTGGATTACTAAATTTATCATATTATTTATGTTTATTAGTCTCATGTATATTTGATATAGCATGTAAATTGAAGAAATAAAGAATACTATTTACTTAACATATTTATAAAAATATAAAGTCCCACAAAATTATAGCTGTTAAAATCATTTAAGATCACAAAATTGATTTTTGATATTTGCTGTCTTTTTTTAAACAACTCATTATGTTTAGATATAAACTGTAACAAAGAAACTGATCAATCAAAGATAAAATAGTTTAAATGTGTTTTTTATTGAAGAAAGGAAATAAAAGATGTATATAGAAATGAAAATACTTGTTGGTAATAAATGAATAACAATTAAGTAATCGATATTACTTCCGCACGATGAATAATGAAAAGAATGATTAGTATAGGAAAGTAAATTACACAGAACCGAGGAAATGAATCGAAAGCATTTTTCGTTAACGACGCATGATGAAATGAAAAATCTTGCGGATAAAATGCTCCGCTTATACCGTAAACAGAATAATAAATAAAAAACTCACCGGCGGTAGGAAAGTATCTCTCAAAAGGTCCGCCGCGTTTAATCGGTGTAAGCGAGTGCGAACGCGTAGAGGCTACTGCCACCTGCAACGCCGTCTCCAATTCTCTGGCCAACTAAAGGT